AGAACTTGTTTTGAGATATTCTCTCCAAAGAGCCTACAGTGTGTCTCCAGCAGCAGTCTCTACCTTTCTCTTGGTTTCAATATGTTGTATCATAAGGAGATTAATGTTTAATAACTCAAAATCTGAAAGTGCTAGAGAAAAATGCTCTTTGTTTTTTAAACAAAGTAGAAAAATGCTTTAGTTTTGGTAGTTTTTATAATGAGACGTGTATATAGCCTTTGGAGTCAGATGTAAATAGATTTTAATTTTGTGTTGAATTCCATTTACAAAAGCACGTTTATCTCAAAGAAGTAACCTAACCTTTTATGGGTTGATGTCTCTGAACAAGATTGTGGTAAAAAATTCTCTAAAATGGTGGTGTTTTTTAACTGAGGCATCTTAAAGTACCTGTCAGCAAGCTTACTCTTGGTACAGGAGCTCTGCAGTGATTTCTGTTACTCAGGAGGGGGCTGAGCAGAGCTCAGGGGCATTCATCGGACCTTTCTGGTGTTAGGGAGGCTTTTACTCTAGGTGACGTGGGCTTTCAACCTTTTCTGTTCTTCAGTCTTTAGCACCATACTTCTCCAGGGTGTTGAGGTAGGAAGAGATTTTTTGTGGTCTTGTTGGGGAAAGAAAGAAACACCACCTAGTTAAATCCTATTATCTGGTTGTAAAGGTACTGAGACTATGTAGGAGTCTGAGATGAGGAAAGTCATAGTGAGTTACTGCCATACCCTTCATGGTTGTGGCTTTAGACTGGACACTCAAGGCAGAATGAAAGAAGAGAACATAGAGATTGAAAATTTCCAGGAGAAGCAAATATCTAGAATTTTCTTGGGAAAGTATCTTTCTGTGTACTATACCTTACTTCAAATCCAAATACATAAGATAGAAAAGTGTCAGTGCACACTGTAAAGCTCGTTGTGTTGATCGTGAGAAAAGCACTTAATACACAGTTGCCCATTTTCCTGGTCTTGTAAGTAGATATTTTTCACTAAATGCTTGGGTCTTTTAATATTAAGCCAGATAGTCTTGCCCTTTGTTACATGTGCCTATATTTTAAAATGTAAACTGGATAACTAATGCTTCTAGTTCTCTGAAGTTTCTGCCTTAGAGTAAAATACAATAATGTTTAAGATCCTACCTGCTGACTCCCTTAAATTATTTTGCAATTTAAGTTTCTTAGCTCGACATCTGTTCCGTTATAGAATATTCTAGCTATCCTGGTTTTCTTCCATTCCAGGAGTAACACGCCAGACCTGTTACTTACTACCTTCTAGCCTTTGTGTGCTTGGCTAGTCTTTTTGTGTCTATCCTTTATATTTTAAATTGCATGTTCCTGCAGGAGTCTATTGAAATGCAATCTTAGGGAGGGCTTTCTCTGATTATCTTTCCATCACAATCGAACCCTGTTGCTTCAGTCCAGAATACTAGGCTTCCCTGGCATATATGCATTTTTAACATTTACTTGTTCATTGTCTCTTTGAACCTCTGTAGAACATAAGTACCACAGTGGCAGGGGTCAGAGATTGTTCTAGCTGTCTGCTTGGCACAAACCTGGGAAGGACTCTCAGTTAAGAGATTGCCTTTATCAGGTTGTCCTGTGGGCATGTCTGTTGGGTCAATTTTCTTGATTGCCCCCTGGAGCAGTGCCATCCCTGGGTAGGTGTCCTGGACTATGTATAAGAAAGTCAGTAAGTAGTAAGTCATCAAGCAGCATTCCGTCTGATCTCTGCTTCAGGCTGCCTCTGTATTCTTGTGTTGAATGTCCAGTGGCCTTTTGAATGATGGACTGTAACCTGAAAGCCAAATAAATCCTCTCCTCCACGTTGCTTTTTGGTCAGTGTTCTGTGACAGTGATAGAAACTAAACTAGGACAAATATATTGATTTGTTCAGTGCCCAGAGTTACATTGTTTAGCATGAAGTACTCAAAGTACTGATCTCTTTACTGGCACTCAGTGACCCACATGGAGTCCTTTTGAAAGATCATCAGTTTATTTTGGTTAAGAATAGCACATACTCTGCAGTATACCAACTCATAGACATGTTCATAATATTCCTGTTTAGGAATTCATAGTGCTTTGTAATTGTTCATCTTAAAAACAGGAAAAGAGTTTACATTTATTGAAGGGGTTGACAAAACTAATTATGTTTTTGAAATTGATAACAAGTTTGGAGAAGGAAAATAAAAATAAAAATGTGACTGTCTCTATAAATTTATTAGCTAAAATTTAGTTCAAGGCAAAATGTGCGAAACCATTGGGAGATTTTGAAGATCAAATTAAACATTGTAGGAATTTGATTTTTAGTTATTAGTGTAGCTTAAAGGAAATATTAGGTCAAAGGTTTAAGGATATGTACAAGAAGACTGGTATAGCTGAAGTTTGAAACAACCTGGTAAAGAAATAAAAGGGGAAATGGCCAAATTGGGAGAATTTGAGAACAAGCAGGATGTGAAGCTGTTTAGAAGCATAGAGTAGAAGGCGGTAACAGTCTGGTTCCTTGGTTCCTCGGCTGCCTCTGCCTCTAGGCTATAAGCAGGACTCTAGGAGTGCTTGCCATTGTCATGGCTCTTGGGTAAGGAGGGAGAACTCTAATTCACTCAGAAGAGACCAGCCAGTAAAGTAATGAATGGAGTTCTGCTGTCAGATGTGCTTGAAATAGAGTCTTGTTTACAGTTGCCAAATTCCTCCAAATAGATAGGTCACTACTGATAGGAATATTTGTGGGTTTTAAATGTATGATAATGCTTTTCCTCCTTCAAGACCAGACAGTTTCAATGAGTTGTGTTGGTGTTTTAAAAATACTAAAATGATTTGAGGGAAGAAAGATGTGTGACCATGCTTCTTCTTTCAGGAGTTTGTGGACTTACCGTTTGAGAATTGCTGTGCCTAGAAAGCATTTCCTTCTAAAATTTAAGCATAAGGCTATATTTTACTCTTACCATTCTTAATTCAATTTAGTATGTGTCAATTGTTGGCATTTGAGGGGAAAATTTTTAACTGAAGGGCAGAAAGAATCTTGTTGGTTTTTAGTTGTGTCAGTTCTCAGTTTTTTTTTAGCTTTGAAGCACAAATCTAGGATATAAAATATATCAGTAGTTTCCAACAGAATTGTTTTTCTGCATTAGTCTTTCTGCCTTCCTAGTTCTTCTGATAACCTCCTCCAGCTTCCTTCAGAATTTAACACTATTACTTTCTTCACAACACAGTAAAATACATATGTGTGGATTTAGCTTAGATAGCTGTAAGCCTTTACAGCACTGACTATGACTGTCCTAATTCATAGTGTGACTTACCCCTGATTTCTGTTGTGAGCAGCCCTGATAGAAGAGCAGTCTGCAGGGTGATTTACACACACTTTATGTGTGTTGATGTTTTTGCCTGCTTGCGTGTCTGTGTGACAGTTGTAAGCTATCATGTGGGTGCTGCCAATTGAACCCTGGTCCTCTGGAAGAGCATTCAGTACTCTTAACCATAGGGGTCTGCTTTTGATGGTGACAAAAACTAATTTTGTATCAAGTAGAAAAATGCTATATCAGGGCCTTGCCTCAAAGGTTTAAAACTTGGCTTCTCAGGACTGCATGTTTTTTATGTTTTTAAGACTTTTTTTTAACATAAAAAATACCAAGTTTTAGTGTTACTTGACTAGTTTTTTAAGACCAAGAAGATATTTTTGAGAGTATATTGAGCTTTATATAGCTTCATTTTAAAGTGTTCATATTTCACCTTAATAAAAATTAATGCTATTAAGAAGTTATTTTGCAATTCAAGTACTTTAAAATTTTTAACTTAATATTTAAGGTTTTACTTTTCTTTAATTCTATTTTGAGAACTTTGGATTTTTCTGTCTTTCACAAGTGTTTCTTTGCCAGCATTAATACCTTTTATTGTTATACAGAGAAAGGTTATCCAAAAGACCATTTGAAAAAATCTAGTAACAGGATGTACTTTTTTTTTTTTCCATTGCTTTTTAATTGTACCTTGTCAAAATGGTCTTGTACATGAACTTTCTTAGAATTGGGCAGTTCCTGGTTCCTATGGAACTTCCTGTTTTCTCAAATAAAAATAGAAAAGCATCTCAGAAAGGAAATCTGGTCAGTGTGAACTACTTTATGAGATCGGTTGGACTTAGTTGTGCCCTGGATTATATAGAATATCATTTGTATAAAATGTGTAAAAGTTTTCAAATGCCTGAACTTTGAATATTTTTATATATAATAAAATAGGTGATATGGACTAGGTTCTGAATAAATGTGAGACATGTTATATATTTAGCCATAGTCTGGCATCATATTTTGGAGAGATTTTAGGTAGAGAAAGATTTCATGGAAAATATTACAAATTTCTTTTATAATTATACTTGATTGTTGGATACCGAAATTCTAATCGTTGGCTGCTTTGAGCTGTATATTTTTTTTCTTGCATTTTTCTAGATGTTCGTAAAGAGTCAGGATTTTGTTTTCTTTTAGGTAGATATTAGAAGTTTGGATCCTAAAAGAATCACTTAGTTTTAAAGCAATAGGTTTAGGTAGAAATATGATATTGTTGGTAATAATAAAAATGGTAGTATTTGGTGAGAACACAGTGAATGATAGCCACTGCTCTCCCAGGCATTTTATAGCAGTTATCTCATTTAGTTTTTACAGCGATGTACTGTATGTGCAATTGTTATCTCTATAGGAAAAGTAGTTTATAGTAAGCAGGTCATTGACTTGAGGAGGTAGTACGAAGTACCGGTGCAGGTGCAGAGGAGGCTTGAATCATCATTCATCACAAGACACCAAAACTCTGGCGTTCAGTTGTGATGGAGAAAACCATGAATTTAGAGGGACAATGTCTAGCATAGTTAGTCTTACTCCTTTCCCAGCCTGTTTACCTCTGGTTTGTTTACATTGGTTTGCATATTTGCATTGGCATATGTAAACAGCATATGCTGGCTTCTCAGGGTGCTTGTTTAGGAGGATTGAAGTTCTTGAGTGATGCTAATAGTTGTCTTTTTCTTTCTTTTCCTTGATAGTAAAAAAACCCTTTGATGAAACATTTGGAAAAATACAAGTAAGTAAAAGATCATAATACTTATAATGTATGCCATGCTTTAAATGATGAAAATATTAAAATGACTATAAACTAAGAAAAGTAACTAGTTTGAAGCATTATATTTTCTCATTCTGGGCATTCTTACCTCTAATTTAGTTGTGTTGAACATAGAGCTTCTCCTAAAAACCGAACTGTTTGTTACTGTCAGGTAAAGACAACTGTCCACCAAATGGGAATACCCTGTCGTCTCTGGATCTGGTCTGCCTTGTCCCATGTTGTCTTATGCCATAGCAGTTTTTTTTTTTTTTCCTTTCTTTTGTCCTCATTTTGTCTCCTTTTGGATCCTTGTTCTGTTGCATCAAGGCTTTTTGTTTGTTTGTTGTTTGTTTGTTTTTTCGAGACAGGGTTTCTCTCTGTGGTCTTGGCTATCCTGGACTTACTTTGTAGACCAGGCTGGCCTCAAAGTTAGAGCAATCCGCCTGCCTCTGCCGCTCTGAGTGCTAGGATTACAGGCTACCTCACCTGGCTAACATTGAGGCTTTTCTTCTTCAAAGGATGATAAAATAACTTTAACCAAAATTTTATTTACATCAAAATATTTTTGCTTGCCTTGTAATAGACACTTTGAAGATTTAGATATTTAAAGGTGATATGAATATTAAAATACATAATTCTCTGCTAAATTTTCATCATGGGAACTGACCATTACATAGATCTGTATTGAAAACTACTTGTTTTGCTCAAGGGCATATGATAAAGTGCACTCAGACTACAGAATATTATTTCAGATTGTTAGGTGTGAAACTTTGGATTAATTCTATTCATTGTAATCTGCAGTGAAAACGTTTATTTGTAATGATTTTGATAACTGAGTTTTAAAAATACTAAAACATTATAGTTGAGGCTTAGTATAGTGGGCTCACGGAACCTTGGAATTTCAAAACTATTTTTAAAAATAATTTGTAGTATCACAGATTCAGTATAAGACTCTTGGGTTTCAGCCCCAGCTTTTAAATTTTGGAGCTTGAATCACATTTATCATCTGTCTGTCTGTCTATCTGTCTGTCTGTCTATCTATCTAATAGAGTCTTGTTAAATAGCCCAACCTGGCCTTACTTAGATTTGCTATTTTCCTGTCTCAGTCTCCTTGTGTTGGGATTACAGGTATGAACCATAGTGCCCTCTGCACTTTGGTTTTTAATTTTGTGTGAAGATAAGAAGTGCCTTGATTCAGAATAACGTAAGAATGAGGTCAATAAAAGGGTGATATGGCAGAAAGCTTGGAAGCAGGCAGTCACCTGGAGGGATGGTTACCTTGTTTGTCATCATGAGACATAATCCAAGGACATGGGGTGGGAATTTGGAGCCTTTTGTGAATTTGCTTCTTCCTACCATCACTGCTCATAGCTGCATTGACAAAATTATGTTCCCCATAGTGTGCAAACTTGTTTTCTTTGTTTCCTGGACATGTATGGGGACAAAAGTATAGATGCAGTTTCATGTCTCTAGACATGCATGTGTCACGTTCTATACCTTCTAAGCATGCCTGAACTTGCTCCATTGGTATATTCATCTAGAAAGCCTGTTCTATTAGGCACTTGGAAGAAAGGGAAGTCATAAAGACATTCCCGTGTCATGATTTTGTCTCAAAGTGATAATCTCTTACCTCTTCCTCATTGCTTGCACAGAGGCTTATCTTAGTTGCAGTTGTTCTTAAATTTGGATATCATTGCTTTTTAGATTATTGAATAGATTATATAGATGTTACCTATTTATTCCAGATCACTTCTACCTTCTGGTCAGAGCAATATTGCAGACATGCACAAGTCTAGCTTACCTTTCTCTTAACTTTTCAGGATAAAGCCAAACTCTTTTTCTTCTTATTTAGGGTTCCAAGCTACTTTTCCTTCAGCTTGCTACTGCTTATGTAAGAAGTATAACTAGTGCTTTCATGCTTCTGTACCTCTGCTTGTTCTGTTCCCCCTGCCTGGAGTGATGATCAAGTCTTTTCTTCCTATGTAGCTCTAATGTTCTGTATTACACATATGGGCTTTGGTTAACTCCCCATCTGTTAGCGTTTTACTTGGCAGTTACGGTGTGACACTGCGTGGTGGTTGGTGTGGTGTTCTTGAGAACAGGAAATACCGTGCTTGTTCTGTCTCACTTTGCTCTGAGACGATAGTTCTTCATTCCTTAACTTCATTGAATGTTTTATTTTAATGGTTGGTGATTATATACAGGGTCATCTTGATAATCTAGGACAGGATGTATGTCAAAGTAATATCATGTTCCTTTAGTTATATGTGGTTGAGTCAGATTAAAACAAACCATGAGGGGCTGGAGGATAGCTCAGTGGCTAAAAGTGCCTGTCAGCACACAGGGCAACCTGAGTTTGAACACACATGTGTTCATTGTTCTCTGACGTACATGGGACATACCCATGTATGTGCAACCTACATATCTGTACACACATTCAATTAATAATGCAAACAATAAACACCCTAGATGGAAGACAAGAACAGTATATATGTGTGTGTGTGTGTGTGTGTGTGTGTGTGTGTGTATGAGCACATATTATATGTGCATTGTACAATGTGAAATTGGAAGGATTGCTTTGATGGCTAAAGGAGGTTTATTATGTATGAGGTTCATTTCATAATTTCTTTTTTCTAAGATGTATTATTTTTAATAATGTGTATATATGTATGTGGATGTGTACATGTAAGTGCTGGTGCCCGCAGAAACCAGAGACGTTAAATCCTCTGGAGCTGGTGTTAGAATGTTGTGAGTTGCCTGACATGGGTGTGCTAGAATTGAACTCTGGCCCTCGGGACGAAAAACTCTTAATCACTGAACTACTTCTCCATCTCCCTGTGTAAGCTTAATAGTTCTCAAGATAATAAAATACAGTAATAATTTATGGTAAGTTTTCTTAAAATATAGCAGCTATTGTTTCCATATAGATTTGTTGTTCATATTATATAGCTTTAACCATTTTATCTTTATTTCCCGCTTTTAAAAAATAAAAATAATTATAAACCTTTTTTTAGAGTTGGTATTTCATAATAACTTTTTTTTAATTTTAGGAAAGTGAAAAAAATCTTATGATGAGCACATTGTACAAACTTCATGATCGGTTGGCCCAGATTGCAGGTATTATTTTAGCAATCATTGTCTCACAAAACGTTTCTAAAGTTAGCTGTGTGTGTTGCATGTTTTGTCAGTAGGAGTAGTCTTGCCTAAGTACTGATACAGTATTTTTCTTTAGAGATTTCTTAAAGAAATTCATACAGATGTAACCAAGGCCCATTTTTTTTTTTCTGCTTGCAGTATATGTTCAATTTAAGTTATGTATATTGTGTAAATAGTAACATATTCTGAAGGCTTACATAGCAGTTGAATTGAATAAGCAGTGATTAATTAAAATCTTGGGTTAGATAGAGAGGTATAGATTTTCTTTTGGTGATTGTGCAGTTGTCATAATTAAAGACGGTATTTTTAGTTAAACTCTTTTCATACTCTGCTCTTGAATCTGTTAGAGTGCTTAGGTATCAACACATCTGCAACCTGAATATATTAGTGAAATTATTAAATGGATTCTTACTATTTGATATTTGCAAATGACAGTAGTAGCATATGTGGTTGGTTATCCAATTCAATATACAAAGTGTTAACATAATATAAAAGAAGTGACTCTGGATCGTTTCTTATAAGGGTTATGGGAAACAAATGGAGCCTTCCAGGCTTTGCAGGAGCAGACTGCTGTGTGGAGTGAAGTCTTTGGCAGAAGTCTAGGGCTGGAAGTAGTATGACTCCTCCGCTTACATGGCAGTCGTTATGATCCTGGTGTTCATTTCCCAAGTCCTATCTAGCTTGATCTTTATTTGAAGTCCGTAGTTTTGCTCAGTTTTTTTAGGCTTATAATTGTGTGTACATCATTAAACACTTTCTTGGTACTGACTGATTTGCCTGCATTCATATACTATGTTTATTTGGTGTTCTCTCGCACCTGGAAGTAGGTTGAATATTGTCTATAGCTAAGAAATCTTAGTGTTGCTAACTTAAGCCTACATGGTTCTTGATAGCAACTTTATGAGGATGGTCTGTGGTTTACTAGATCAGCACACAAGAGTTGCTTTTAAAGACGTGGATTTCCTCCCCCAGAGTGGGTATTGGCAACTATTTTCTTGTAAAGTGCCTCATGGTAAATATTTTAGGCTTTGTGGACAAGACTGCCCCTGTTACTATTATTTCATTTTGGTATTTTAGCATGAAAGTAACCATAAATAGTATATTAATCAATTAGCTTGACTGTGCTCCCTTCATAAATTCATTTATAAATACCAGCGGCAGGCCACATTTGGCCCTCGGCTGTATTTTACTGACTTGTGTTGTGGACCCGTGGACTCTGAGTCTCTGAGGGAGCATTAGAAGCTGAAGACTTGTTTATGCAGAAGGTACTTACCTCAGCTAACGACCTCCATGACAGCTAGGCGTAACTGAGTAAAGTGATAAGGAAGAGTGTACTTCACTGTACAAAGATTTGGCAGGATTTGCTTCAGGGAGAAGATTTTTATGTTGAAGGTATTTTTAAACTATTTGAAAGTAATAAGGCAGCAAAACTTAAAACTGAAACTTAATTTGAGGAAAAATATCTGTAATAACCACATGTAGCCTTGGAAAAAACTTTGCATTATCTTCAGTTATTTTCTATAACTTTCATTTTTTTTTTTTTTTTTATAAAAACTAAACTGAGATTCATAAGGTAAAATTTCTGCCTTGTTTCACAGTTGATCTCTGTTAAAAAAAGGTCAGGGATGTGCACTCCTGCCAGCGAGGAGTTTGACTATGCTCTGAAAGTAGACATAACTAGGATTTAGTGTGATAGTAAATTCAGATTTACTTGAATCTTTGGATTATCAGCTTTGAATCTATGTGTAAGTTAGTAAAGAATATCCTGGTGTTTCCCTTTAAGAACAAGCCATCAGAGTGTCATTGTGCCTACATTGGCTTTCAGTTTAGAGTATAAGAGGAAGATAATCTTACATTGACTAAAATTCATTTAAAAGTAGTGGTTTATGTAAGAGTAGTTGTTTGTTTACATTAGATATTGGAATTATTTCTAGAAAATATAAGTAATATTCATCAATCTATTGACTACAATATATAATTGTATTATTTGTAAAATACTTTAAATTCTATTTCTTTTGTTTAATATTGTACTTATTCGAAATTGATATGCTAATCTTTTCAGGAGATCATGAATGTGGCAGTTCTAGTCAAAGAACACTTTCTATCCAAGACGCAGCTGCATATTTAAAAGTAAGCAGTGAAATAAATTTAATAGCCATATTCTTAAAGTTTATATCATCCTTGCTACTATCGAAAGTATTAAGCATTTTGTGACTTTAATTGTGCTGTCTGTGGCAGCAGTCTTCATATCTTCTTCTGTTGCTTGTTTCCATTGCCTGTATGCAGTCCTTCGGCCCTGATGTTTAGCTTTTGTCTCCTCATGTAACTCTACCCACTTATACATTTGTTTGCATATATGTGTATATTGTTGGCTAGGTTCCTGGTAAGAGAGAATGTGTAGATTTTCCTTCTTTCTGAGATTATAGATATCAAGGTAGTTGAAGTATATTTATATCTTCATAGAAAGCTAATTGTTTTTCTAACTGTACTTCTGTCCTGGATTGTTTGTTTTTTGGTGTAAGTACATACAGTGTACTCTGTACCAGAAGTATAACTGATGTGAATCTCCAAAGCCTCTGTTCCGAACATCTCTTCTAACTGTGTAATAGAATATTCAAACTGGAGCGTCATTAAATTGTGTTGAATTTGTGTATGGATTTCTTTTTTTTTAATTTATTTTTTCCCATTATTTATTTATTGGCTTTTTGTGTTTGTTTCAAGACAGTGTTTTTCTGTGTAGCCTTGGCTGTCTTGGACTTGCTTTCCTGGAACTGGAAAAATACAAGAAGGTTAAAGATGGAAAATGTCATCCTGATTTGTAAAAGGGGAAAATGGAATTTAAAAACAATACTGTAAAGCTTGCTTCCTAGCTAGGTTTCCTGCTTTCCTTCCCTCCTTCTTTCCTTCCTTTCTTTATCCCTCCCTCCCTTCTTCCCTCCCTTCCTCCTTCCCTTTCTCCTTCCTTCCCTCCCTCTGAATTTAGATCCTTGTGTTTGTAGGAAGTACTTTATGTACCAAGCTATCTCTTCTAACACCCAATGTAGATACTAATTAAAAAAATTGTGTGCATATGTGTGTGTGCACGTGTGTATAGAGGTAGAAAATGGTGTTATGTCCCCTGGAGCAGGAGTTATAGGTGTTATGACCTGCCTGATGTGGGTGCTGGGAACTGATCATGGATGGTTTGGAAGAGCAGCAAATTCTCTTGACTGCTGAGCCATCTCTCCAGCCTCTTATGATTGTTTTTATTTCTATGTTTAATAAATGACATTGGTATTAAACTAGAATTGCATTGAAGCTGCATTGCCTTGGGAAGTACAGACATTTTATCCCGTGTCCTCCAGTCCATGAACAATAGATGGCTTTTTATTTATTTGTGTCTTACTTTCTTTCAGCATTGTTTTGGTGTATGTATTTTTTATCTTTAAGTTTTTCTTAAGAATTTTCTTTTTGATAATGTTGTAAACAAAGTTGTTTTTTTTTTTTTTTTCATTTCCTGATGAGATTGATGGATGGATGAATAGAAAAGCCATCCAACTACCTTCCATATACACAGAGGCCAAAAAGGATAGAGAGAAAGATATTCAATGAAGGAATATGGGTGACTATCTTAACAGAATTGACACCAAAATGTCACTCAGACAAGGCAGAACATCCTAACATGATAAGCAGCTCAATCCACATGGAAGATATATTGACATGTACACATTAGAGGACCCACATATATGAAGTAATTAATGACAGAACTTAAGGGAGAAATAGCAGCGTACTGTTGTTGACAGTATATTGTTACAGAACTTTCAAAAGTGGAGAGAACACCCAGATAAAGAACAATAAGGAAAAAGATTACTTAAGTACTGTAGACCAGACAGAACAAGGACACAGACATTTCATCTAAAGAAAAACAATACACATTTTGCCTTTTTGAATTTCATAAATGAGTGCAATGTATTTTCATTAGACCTGCCTCTCCCTCCCCTGTCTCTTTCCCTGTCCCTCCACAGATAGCCGATAGCCCTCTAAACCTCACATCCACACTCTCTAAAAACTCTCTCTCTCTCTCTCTCGGTGTGTGTGTGTGTGTGTGTGTGTGTGTGTGTGTGTGTGTGTGTGTG